CACATGCCTGCGTGCGTGCGTACATGCATGCATGCGCACGTGCCTGTGTGTCCGTGCCTGCTCACATGCCTGCGTGCGTGCGTACATGCATGCATGCGCACGTGCCTGTGTGTCCGTGCCTGCTCACATGCCTGCGTGCGTGCGTACATGCATTCGTGCGTGCGTGCCTGTGTGTCCGTGCCTGCTCACATGCCTGCGTGCGTGCGTACATGCATGCGTGCGTGCGTGCCTGTGTGTGTGCATGTGTACCTGCGGGCGTGCCTACGTAGACCCGTAAGATTATAGAACGGTAATCCATGGGAAATCGTAATGAAATTCACACGTTTATTTTTGTGTGCCGGCACACTCGTGTGTCATTCCCGATTGTAGCTCTTTCCTCAATTCCAGGAAAGAGTTTTGCTGTCGCTCTCTCATAGCCCAGCAGTGCCCACCCCCTACATTTTAGTAGTGATTAGCACCACGCGACTGAAACAAGCGTGCGCTTCCCCTCCGTACTTCAATCAATGCCGTCCCCAGCCAGCAGGCACGTACGCAGCGTCAATGTGCATAGCCACAGACGCGTGCCTCGCAGGCGCTTTTTTCGGCGACCTTTGAAAATATAATGTGAGAATGTTGTGCGATAGCGCCCTGGCTCAAAGGATGTTAGGAATATTACACAACTAGAAATTTTTTAGTTGTCCAATCGGGCAACTAGCCAAACGAATAACTTGTCCGACATAGACTTTCACTTGTCCTGAGCCTTATATCGTAGCGCTTCGCAATCCTTTATGAATAAAAAACAGCTCACAATAACCAGCCTATTTCATCAGATTCCTTCTAACTAGACTTCTAATAAGACTGAATCAGAACACACTAAATGCCCTTATGAATGATGGTGTCTGTGGAAGGCCCATCAGCTCAGTACTTCCCCTTCCATGAGGCAGCAGATGCCTGGGCAGCAATTAGGAAAAGGAAACTGAGAATTTAAAGCCTTTATAACGATATTTGATTTTCTACTCAGTAACGGTGCTCAATCCGAATAAAATATAGCGAAATATAGTTTCACCTTATAGTATATTTATTTGCATTTTTCGCACATTGCTTTATAACATTTGACAGGTTACATTCACACTAGTATACAAATTGAACAATGAAAAATGACTCATGACTCTTGACTCAACCCAATTTATTTTGAAATATAGGTCATAAACTTTGTGCAAAAAATGAAAAATGCTCCAAAATAAGGCTCAGATTACACCAGAGAGCATCTAAAACCATTGAGCTTTTACTAACTCTGTCCCAAGTGTCTGTGGCTACATGATATTGTTTCATTCTATCTCAACTTGTTCTTTGCAGGTCCTTAGTGGGCTCAACAATCTCCGACAGAGCGAATCTTTCTGTGATGTAACACTTTGTGTTGATGGACAGGATTTTCCATGCCATAGGTGATGATTTGCAATTTAGATAGCACTACCGTATTGAATTTTGATATCAAATTGTGCCATTCTTGCAAATGAAGCTCGTAATTGTGCACATACATGAATGGTTTTAGCTACACTTGATCAGATCTTTCATGGAAACAATAATCATTTGTGGATTAACAATCAGTGATGTATGCCAATGTCATTTCAGGATACTGCTGGCATCAGTCAGCGCATATTTTCACGCCATGTTCTCGGGTGAACTCGCAGAGAGTCGGCAGGACAGGGTGAGCATAAATGGCGTCGAGGCGGCCATGATCGAGCTTCTCATCGGCTACGCGTACACGTCTGAGATCCTCATCGCGCGAACAAACGTCCAGTCACTGCTTTCAGCGGCAAACCTGCTGCAGGTTCTCCCGGTGCGCGACGCATGCTGCAGCTTCATGGAGCGAAACATGGACGAGGCCAACTGCATTGGCATCCATTGCTTCGCAGAGACTCACGCCTGCCCCAATCTGCAGCAGATGGCAAAGGCCTATGTCTTGCAGCACTTCCAGAAGGTGTCGATGCGTGAGGAGTTTCTCGGATTGTCGCAGTCGAAGCTGATAGAGTTTATCTTGGATGATGATATCTGGGTCGACAGCGAAGAACAGGTGTTTGAGGCCGCGATGCGGTGGTATACTCACAATGTACAGGACCGAGAGTCCGATTTTCAAGAGGTTCTCAAACACGTACGATTGCCGCTGTGCAGCCCCTACTACTTGTATGATTGTGTCAGGACACAGGAAGTCATACGGCAGTCTGTAGAATGTCAGGAACTGGTTGAGCAGGCCACAAAGTATCACTTGCTTCCAGATAGGCGAGTAGAACTGAGGACCAGCAGAACGCAACCTAGGAAAGCAGCAGGTATAGAGGTCTACATGCACATGTGTTACTGTTAGTATAGTGTAACATATATGATAATAACATACATGCTCATTGTACTGTACATTTGAATGAGCAATATTATATAATAATAATATAATCTATTTTTATTCACTCCTGACTATATTATAGCAGAAATGTATGAATCTCTAGAGAATCTAATGAGATGTCTACTCATGCACTCCTGATTATATCAGTCCTGATTTGATGTGTGTTATAAAAGACAAACCTACACATATAGGGCTGTGTATAGTGTTTGTGTAATTTTTGTTTTGTTATTAAAGGTATTCAAGAGGTAATAATTCTAGTCGGAGGTGAGGATGATAAAGTCGTTCTTAGAAGTGTGGAGAGCTATGATCCGGTAAGCTTCAAGTGGAAAACACTGGCATGTCTGCCATTTGCCGTGAGCAAACATGGATTAGTAGTAACTGGTAAGTGCTTTGCACAGATTATATTTCATTTCTGTGCTGTTTTTTTTACTAATGTGCTGTTATAGAAGAAAAAGCACATCTGTATGTAGTTATATGTAAATTGTTATAATGCGCTGTTAGAATAATATAAGTTATGATACAACCTTGTCCTAACGGTGACCCTAGCACATGTTGGGTGCATGGATGGAAATAATACGACTCAATCATCAAAAATTGTTTTATTGTGAGTGCATGTCAAAATTTCACCACAGAGAATCGATCAATTGCAAATCCATCGAACTCGATACGTTAACTACAAATCGTTATTAATAAGACCTAGTTAATCACAAACCTTGGCATATATATCATAGTAGCTGGATCAAGACATTCTTTGTCTCCCAAAAGTAAAACATGTTCAATTGGTGGCAACTGGAATTTCTTCAGATCTCATTAATCGCAGTCTCACATATTAAAAAAAAAGTTGGATCTGATTGTATGCTTGGAGTTAATGTGGTTGCTGGTATTCATGTGCATAGCAAATGTGCTTCATTGAATTGGGTGTTCGAGACATGCAGATGAATGTGTTACCTTGACGGGATGCGGCCATGATGCCGAGGCGAGCCGAGGATTGACACTTTGTGTCCTCCAATCACAGCCTACGCCGCACCTCCCTTTGAAATTTTTATAGGTGGGGACCCATCACAGTACCAAATCGCCGATCTTGGGAACGAGGGCATTCTGCTAGGCTAGAACGGTTTCCTACGATAGAGTTTGGCACAAAAACGAAAATAACACGCCGTTTAGCGCACTGCACCACGTACTTGTTGCATTTTCGCATCTCCGTAATCAGAATAAGCCCCGCCTTCTTCGTTGATGGGCATGAATGGGGTGTCACCGACGTGACCAGTTCCTATACTGACTGTGTTTACTTTTCGTAAATAATGAAATGTCCGGCCGATGCTAGACTGGTACCCGTTCGCCACCTTCACTCCGGCAAGTATCCTTCGCTACACTGATGCTGTTAGTGTAGCGTGTGGAACTGTCGACCGGGTACCAGTCTAGGCCGATGCCAAACTGCATGCAGGGCACCTTCGTACACTCAGGATACTCGTAGATTGAGCCCATGAGCGAGAGCGCCATCTGTCATGGAGTTTGGGCCGATGCGATGCATTTTCTGCGTTTTCTGCGTGATTATTATTTTGCGCAGGCACCCATTTTCGAAATCCTCCAACATTTTTACTTCTTCCATTAAGTCCATGTTTCACTGTTATTTAGGAAGGAAGGTAAAACTGTGCATTCGTATAATTTCCCTCTTAATTGCTTCTATAGTATGATTTCCATAATTTTGCTCTTCTGCCCATGATAATATTTCCCTCATCATGAACCTACATTTTTCAGTTCGGACTCTTATCATATCGTTATAACCTCCTATATCATTAATTAAATCTCCTAGGTATGAATATTTGGTGCATTTTTTGATTACTTATTTGCCTATTAATATCTCCTTCTCTATCCTTTCTTTGTTGGTGAATTTTATAACCATTGTATTTGTTTTGTTCATATTAAATTCTAATCTTTTTGATTCAGCTAATCTGGAGCATGACTGAGCGATTTTTGTTACTGTTTTATAATCGCCAATTCCTAGAATATCGTCCATATATAATCATTGTCATTTTCTAAAACTACAGACCATCCGCTGACCGCTGTGGAGACGTGCGCCGGGCCTCGAATTTGGCGCACGTCTCCACTGCGGGCAGCGCTTCATACTTGAACATCCCCGCTGTCGCGTGCGCGTATCCCGCGGAACTGCGCGTCTCATTCGCGCGCAGCGCTTAGGATCAACAGCAAAGCTGTGCCACGCAATCTTGTATCATGTCTCTCTGGATTCTGCAGGCAACAACTTAATTTACATGTGTGGAGGAGAGTTTCCTGATGGGTCTGCTAGTGGTAGCATGTGGCGATATGATCCGAATTTCGACACATGGCAAGAAATGGCTTCGATGCACACACCTCGTTCGGAACTGGGTAAACATATCTCTAGAAAACATTGTGAACTTTGCTTTACTTGTTAAGTTGTTAAAGCACACCTACTATACACAGCCAACATTTCTCAATTTAGTTAGTTAGGCCTATGTTCTATGATTGCTTGCAGGTTTGGCAGTACTTGATGGCTACATCTATGCTGTAGGGGGGTGGGAAGGACAGCAGAGACTGGACTCGATGGAACGTTACAATGCTAGTACAAACAGCTGGGACTTTATGGCACCAATGACTCTGGCTGTCACAAGCCCGGCTGTTGCAGCTCTCTTTGGACGTCTCTACATCACAGGCAGGCTGTTTCCTGTGGGCACTCGTAGCAAACAACGCACAAAATCTAAATATGGCTGATCAGTGTTTGTGCTGATAGGCAACCTTACTACTACTCAAATTCCAGTTATTTTAATATTTATTTTCCCCCAGACTAGGTAATTTAGATTTCAAGGAATTGTGCCACTTTTGTTTGCATCTGAACAATATGCTCACTCAGGGGCTATTTTTTATATAATAGGAATCAAACCCCTAGAGTGTTAGATGTGAAATTCTATGTGATGCGTGGTTTGGGAAGATAAGGAGTGCATAAAATAGGATCGAGCAGGTGTTTGATGCAAAGAGTCACAGTCAGAATAAAGTTGTATGTAAATTTACAAACACACATTTACATGTGCAAATATTTTAATTAGGATGTATTTTTGTAGGTGGCGCTGTGCTTGAGGATGGTGATGGCATAGACTTAGTGCAGTGTTATGATCCGTGGAAAAATTTGTGGGCCGTGATGTCACCCATGCTCATCCCCCGGTCTGGGTCGGCCGCCTGTGCTGTCAACAGCATGATCTACGTCATCGGTAAGCCACACGTCATGTTGAGACTGCCTTGTCACTCGGCAGTGTCTTGCAGGTCTACCACTGGCACATGATCCAGTTGGCAGGTAATTATTGTATCCCCCGAACGAAGTTCGTGGGGATACTATGGGTTTGGCATCGTCGCGCCGCCGCCGCCGTAGAGATTTCCTTGTGAACGCTCTACCGGCTGCAGTTCTTCTCGAATCATCTTCAAGTTTCGAATGAAGGTGCATTATCGTAAGCGAAGGACACTAATCGTTTTTGGTGTGGGCGGAGTCATCGTTTGCCATGGTAACAACATTTTGTCGAAAATTCTAGAACCTGTAACTTCTGCACTTTTACCCGATTGTCATGCAATTTATATTTGTATAAAATTTGGTATTTAAATTTATTAAATTTAGATTGCACAAATATATATATATATATATATACATATATATATACATATATATACTATATATAGGACATGTTATATCGCCTGACTGCCAAATTCCATGACAATCGGGTAAAAACAGCACAAGTTACAGGGTTACATTATTCCACAAAAATGTTGTACCATGGCAACGATGAGCTCCGCCCACACCAAAACGATTTGGCATCTTCGCTTTACCATAACGCACCTTCATGCCAAATTTGAAGATGATCCGAGATCGGGTAAAACCTGCCCACCAGGTCACACTTCGACCTTAATTTCACCTTTACCTTGACCTTGATCTTATTTCTCTTCCGCTTCTAACTCGCCCTAATTGACCTAGCGCGACCAACTTGGTATGCTACACAATCTTGGGGAGAAGTTGTCTCATACCAAAACCACCACTGCCCTTGACCTTAGTTTGACCTTCACCGGCGACTTACATTTCCTCTTCGCTCCTAGGTAACCAGATTCCATATACTTGCAATCTGCGGACACCAGTTGTCTAACACACCTTTGTCTTTGTGACTTATTTAACTTCCTGCCTTCTACGTCCTTACAGAGATATTCTATTCATACTAGATCACGGGGGATACATGTAGTTGGCGACAACTGATCGTTTCTAGTTTAATTGACAATCGCAAAATTTAAAATTTTAATGAAATTCTACACTGCCAGAGAACAGTAGAGATTACACATGTCAAAAGCCAACTGTGTACCGGTCAGTAAACTGCCAACTTCACTGCCATGTGGCCAATCCCCCTGTTACTAGGCAAACGTTTTCAGACATGTCAAGTAATTAACACTGTACTACTTGTAAGTACATTTATAGATGTGATAGGATACAATGGCTCAAGCCTAGTTTAAGACCATGGATTTTAAAACGGTTTTTATCTTTGATTTATAGTGCCACTATGCACTAGTTTGAAATGATGGCGAATGATATCTTCCGTAGGTGGGTGCATGCATCCACTGAAAATACTAACAAAGCAGAAGCCTATGATCCACTGACAAACAAGTGGACGTCTGTGGCTGCTATGGAGGAGAAACGCTACCGACCTGGTGCTGCAGTCATCAATGGCATGATCTATGTGTGTGGAGGTGAAGAAGGCTGGGATAGGTGAGTGGGATTAGTGATAGAGAGATAAGGCACGTGGTGTAGAGAGAAGTATTTGAATTTTTAGCTCACCTTGACATCGTCAAGCTGAGCTATTGCTCATGGTCGTCGTTCGTCGTCCGTCCGTCCGTCCAACATTTCGCTTCGGTCAACGATAACTCAGGAACTGTTTACCCACATGTTTGAAATTGGGTATAGTTGTTACTGTATGCTCCATATGGAACGTCCTATTTTGGAGCACGAGTCACGCGTACTTTCGAGCCACGCAATTTTTTGGCAAAAATGGAATTGCATTAATCAGTTCAGGTTCAATGGCATTTTGTCTATTTCTGTGTAGATGAATAAGGGCTAGGGGTTTTGATATTTAAAAAAAATTATGCAACTTAAGTAGGTTTTGCAATTTATGCAAAAACGCAGATAACAAACAGTCTGTGTGTCACACTCGTCTGGTTCGTTTAACAAGATTCATTGACAATATCTTTAATGCAAAATTGGTATTTCCTCTCCACCGTGCCGATAAAATGTTCGTAGAGTAAAGTTTTACAAAACCTGTCGGAACGCAGCATAACCTATTTATTTCGAACGCCATCGCTACAAAGCGGGTATAGCGCCATCTACTGTCACAAATTGTGATTCATTTTGGTTTATAAATTATTATTGCGATATACAGATGGCAACCGTGTGCCACCGCCTAGAAAAACTCATACGAAGTAAACACTTCCATGCAACCAATTTACCTTGGACAAAAGTTGTGTTATGGGCAGGGAAACACCATTGTCACGTGGTACATAGCAGCTACGTGGAATAAGCGTATCCTCTCAATCTTACACGTTACACATCGGGAGTTCCGCTTTTAGGCAGTGCATAAATCTGAATATTATAAAAACGTTATTTGTGGTGAGCTACAGTGTCATTGACACTTTCATTTGTAGAAGCGTTTAATGCCCTGACATCGTGCAGGTTTAGAGGATATCAGTCGTCATTCTTCTCTACAATATTGCTAGCATCTACTTGCTTGTATATATGGGCAGGTACCACAGCTCCATCGAACGCTATGACCCAAAGCGTAACTGCTGGGAGGAAGTTGGAGAAATGCCTACAAGCCGAAGTTCGCTCAGCTGTGTTCCACTGACTGTGCCATTGACCGCGCAGCGTGATGGCTTTTCTAGCCACAGGTGCCATCGTGACTAGAACTTCACACACAACATTAGGCACTGCACTCGTCTCGCCGCTACATGGACAGGAATAGCATGCAATGAGATTAATGGTGAACCTTAGCTTGTTTGCACTCAATTCGCATTGCATTGCAGATAAACTGTGTGTAGAATCATGTATATAATTCGTGAAAGTCTCTGTACTGTCCTTGATATATTTAGTACAGTAATCCGTTGCATATCGTTGCGCGGGTCACATGCCTGGAAAGCGCCACATATATTGAAACCATGAATGGAGAGTACAATATTTACTCAGTAGTATATGAACAGAGATCAAGTCACGTACTTCATGTATGAAGATCTCTATTAATTCATATACCTCATGTATAAAATATGCCATTCGTGTATTTTTTATTTAATACCTAATAGGATCCATGGTGTTAGGTGCAGGGTTGGGGGACATTTTTGAAAGTGGGAGAGGGAACCATTTAGACAGGGTTATAAAAAAACCTATGCTGCAATTGGAGAATGACATACAAATAGTAACCATGACTAAACACATTCCATTATTTCAAGAAATGCGATAGGAAGGGATTACTGTAAAATGTTCAATGCAAGTTTTAATATTTATTTTTGTACAGCTTCAAGCAGATGTTTAATGTTACTTGAATCACACACTAGTCAAGTATATTGCAGCCTAGTAAGTTTGTGTTTCTGCTCCTATTATTTATTATACTGTCGGATCTTGTATAGCGATATAGTGAATGGTTTGACAACAACCATAGGTAATATTGAATATGTACATCATAGAAAAGTAGATATTGTAGCAAAACCCAGCACACTTGTAGAATTCTTGAATGGCGATTATTTTATTATTTATATCTGGTCGACTCTCTTGAAGTTTCAGCAACACCGTTAAACATTGTATGAGAACTTGTTTCCTGATATGCCTGACACTAAACTAATAAACCCTGACAGTTATTATGTGAATTATTTTGACAGCGTTTGGTGTCTCTCACTATATAAGTTCTCTTGCTCAGTAGACATAAACATTTCACCGAGAACTCAAACTAAAAATATCATATATGCACAATAGTATATATTATGATATCAGGGTGTAATAGTGACAAATTTAGATTTGTCATTATTATTTTTTTAACCCCTGATGACATATCATAATATCAAGAGCTAATAATTATTATTTATTTATTATTATTATAATTATTATTAATGATTATTAGCTCTTGATAATATCAGGACAATCACTCCAACTCACACATTATTTCATAAAAATGCGGATAGGTGGCGCTCATGGCAGCAGGTAGACGGTTGTTGCTGTTTTTTACTTTTGTTTTTTGTGATACTTTGATAGATGAGGAACTAGCGTTTCAAAGTTTGTAAAAGTAGTGTTAAATACCTTCTGTGCGTTCTAGCAATATCCTTACGAACAAATAACGTAACAAGAAGTACGAACTAATGGTAACAAAATCTAATGTAATGGTACCTAATGCCCAATGCAATGGTAATGACTAATGGCTAATGCTAATGGTAGACTGCTCATACTCATAGGGTCTATGTCCCCTAGGGCTAGGGTACTGCCGGAACGTACCCTGGGCGGTCCTACTAAACCGCGAAATGTGCTACT